TCAGCTGTTGCTTGTTGTCTCTGATTGGGAGCCATACTTAGGCAGCCGTTTGGGCATTTGTGTTTGTGGGATCTTGTTCCGTGTTGGTTTGTTACCAAGGACTTCACGTATCGTTTTGTTGTTTTTGTTCGTGTGGTGAATATATAATAAAGTATGTTCGCATTCCACGCTGCGCATTGGTCCAATCCTTTTGACGATCGTGACAATTATCTTTTACCAGATCTAATGTGTTATATTCTCCTACATTAATTTCACATTTCCACAAACTTCAAAGTGTTTCTTTTCAAATGGTATCAATAATATGCATATCCTTGCTTCAGGTCCTGAGCTACAGGCTGTTAGATTTGGGTATGTCATTGTAGGCAAAAATAGATTAAAAGCGTCCGATCCTTAAGAGGTTAAGGACAGAATTATCTATTATAAAGATTTACCCTTCGGTTTGTCTTGTCTTATCTTTCTGAAAAGTATTTACGGCTGGAAAAACATAACCACTGTTATTGAATCCCATGTCTGTTTCAAATATTTCCATGTTTTAATTTACTTACTATGCTTGATTTGTGTTAAAACCATTGCTGCAGAGCATTGCTGCATTGTAAGCAAAAATTGCTGAGTCATGCTGCTGCAAATATTACCCCTTGACCTTGCATGTTAACATACAAGGATCTGCCTAACGGATTGACAGGTTGTGGACATTTAACCCTTGGATAAAAGCATTAGATTTACATTTATTTGTATCCATTTATTTTTCCACTATACTGTACACATTTCCCGTTGTTGTAGCCTATGTCCATCTGTTAACTGTAACCACACAATGTTTGCTTTGTAGTAAAAGTCTCAATGGACTTAAAGTACAGTGGGGGGAAAAAGTATTTAGTCAGCCACCAATTGTGCAAGTTCTCCCACTTAAAAAGATGAGAGAGGCCTGTAATTTTCATCATAGGTACACGTCAACTATAACAGACAAATTGAGGGAAAAAAAATCCAGAATCACATTGTAGGATTTTTAATGAATTTTTTTGCAAATTATGGTGGAAAATAAGTATTTGGTCACCTACAAACAAGCAAGATTTCTGGCTCTCACAGACCTGTAACTTATTTAAGAGGCTCCTCTGTCCTCCACTTGTTACCTGTATTAATGGCACCTGTTTGAACTTATCAGTATAAAAGACACCTGTCCACAACCTCAAACAGTCACACTCCAAACTCCACTATGGCCAAGACCAAAGAGCTGTCAAAGGACACCAGAAACAAAATTGTAGACCTGCACCAGGCTGGGAAGACTGAATCTGCAATAGGTAAGCAGCTTGGTTTGAAGAAAACAACTGTGGGAGCAATTATTAGGAAATGGAAGACATACAAGACCACTGATAATCTCCCTCGATCTGGGGCTCCACGCAAGATCTCACCCTGTGGGGTCAAAATGATCACAAGAACGGTGAGCAAAAATCCCAGAACCACACGGGGGGACCTAGTGAATGACCTGCAGAGAGCTGGGACCAAAGTAACAAAGCCTACCATCAGTAACACACTACGCCGCCAGGGACTCAAATCCTGCAGTGCAAGACGTGTCCCCCTGCTTAAGCCAGTACATGTCCAGGCCCGTCTGAAGTTTGCTAGAGTGCATTTGGATGATCCAGAAGAGGATTGGGAGAATGTCATATGGTCAGATGAAACCAAAATATAACTTTTTGGTAAAAACTCAACTCGTCGTGTTTGGAGGACAAAGAATGCTGAGTTGCATCCAAAGAACACCATACCTACTGTGAAGCATGGGGGTGGAAACATCATGCTTTGGGGCTGTTTTTCTGCAAAGGGACCAGGACGACTGATCCGTGTAAAGGAAAGAATGAATGGGGCCATGTATCGTGAGATTTTGAGTGAAAACCTCCTTCCATCAGCAAGGGCATTGAAGATGAAACGTGGCTGGGTCTTTCAGCATGACAATGATCCCAAACACACCGCCCGGGCAACGAAGGAGTGGCTTCGTAAGAAACATTTCAAGGAGTGGCCTAGCCAGTCTCCAGATCTCAACCCCATAGAAAATCTTTGGAGGGAGTTGAAAGTCTGTGTTGCCCAGCGACAGCCCCAAAACATCACTGCTCTAGAGGAGATCTGCATGGAGGAATGACCAGCAACAGTGTGTGAAAACCTTGTGAAGACTTACAGAAAACGTTTGACCTGTGTCATTGCCAACAAAGGGTATATAACAAAGTATTGAGAAACTTTTGTTATTGACCAAATACTTATTTTCCACCATAATTTGCAAATAAATTCATTAAAAATCCTACAATGTGATTTTCTGGATTTTTTTTCCTCATTTTGTCTGTAATAGTCGACGTGTACCTATGATGAAAATTACAGGCCTCTCTCATCTTTTTAAGTGGTAGAACTTGCACAATTGGTGGCTGACTATATACTTGTTTTCCCCACTGTATGTAATAGAAATGACATCAGTTTTAAAATCTTATTACATAGTGTAACATGAATGGGGATTTGGTGCTCGTTTAGAGAAAATCCTACTTTTAGCTGGATTTAGGATTACTGGATATTACATTTTATTGTGTAGTTAAATATAAAAAATAAATAAGTTAATATTTTCCAACTTTGACAGGACTTCTATTCTTGAATCACCTTTTGCACACCCAAATGTCAAACCTTTTAAACTGTGAGGGGGTAGTAAAATGACAAAGCAAATGGGGGAATTACATTTATGTTCATCAACAGTGGGATGGGAGAGGAGAATTCTAGGCAAGTGCCCTGAAATTGGGTGGAGATAAAAAAAAATAAAAAAAAATTAAAAAAAAAGGTTGACAAGCAATGCATTTCCATTCACAATTCATTGTAGAACATTTACTTTATCAACACATTACTGAATATATTAAGTAATATTTGTATGCAAGAATGATTATGTATGATTATGAATGCAAGTATAATTCTTATTAAAATACTTGTTTTACTTAAAATGTTAAAACTATAGTTTTGCAAGAAGAACAACAAGAGGCAACAGAAGGGGACGGTACACGCACACAGTGACATATTATGGAAAATTAGCTTTTATTGTACATATAAATGTAATTTCCCCAATGTACACGTTGTATAATTATTCTGGAAACAAAACGCTTTGAGGAACATACAAGAAAATGCACGAAACATAAAAAATTAATGAATGCATGATAGTTGTCACCCTCGGTCTGCAATTGTTGAAATATTGTATAATTTGGCCTAATTTATCGTAGCATTAACCTGTTAGCCAGGTTTAGCTAGCTCAGACATACTCAATGAAGCCGTTACAGTAAAAAACGGTGTCTGAAACCGGAAAAATGCCAAAGACAACAAAAATAAAAAAGAATTTAAGGAACATTTCCACAACATGTAAATGGAAATGCTTATTATATTATTATATACAACGTTGTAAACTAAGAATCTGAAAACACTGGTTAGAAAAAACAAATACAAACAGCAAAACCAAGGTGTTGTTGTTGAAAAAGGTGCCATTTCTGACGCAAGGTAGATACATGCTCTTCAACATCCCCCATTTTTCAGCATATCTCCTGCAAGGCTATTATTATTATTAAATGTACAATTGTTACAACACAGATTATCTTGTATACCTTGTGAGGCCAGAGCTTTTTCTCACAGAAGTACATGTTTTTTTTCTTCCACATATCAAGTGTAGCCCTAACCTAGTTCTACCCATACCGTTATAACAACTTTGACGTAAGCCATTTGCTTGCATTGGCCAGACTTTTAGTAAGTTAGTTTACATGTATAATGCACTGTACTGAGTCATTGCATAGAAATAATGTATTGTAAAGTGTTTTCACAGAAAAGGACTTCAGATTTTTCTCCAACGACCAAGCTTTATTATGAATTCGTCAGTAATGAGACCAAAAAACGACTAAACAACCAGGTGTGGAATACAGCTGCCTCGGGTGTTTCTGTAGTATTGCCAGTTAAATCAATACTTAAAAGATCAACTTTTTTCAGAGAGTAATAAAATATTGACCACTCTATATAGTTCCTCTAAAACAGATTCTACTCTTACTAAAATTGTTACAAAGATCCCCAATTGAACCCACGGACACACATTCACCGTTTCACTACTTGCCTCAGCAAACAACACCGGGTTACATAGACCCGCTATTGGTCTTCCCTTCATCAGCCCAAATCAACGGGTCAATCGAAACCTCTAGCTACACAACTACATGCCTTAAAAATGTAGTGATACGCATGTTTTACATAGCATACACATATGATATTGCAGATAAAAGAATCCTTCCCTCTTCCAGGGCAGTTTTCCTGTCCTGCATACCATCTGGGTCATGTTCATTAGGACACACAACTGAAAATGTTTTGCATTTCCGTTGCTAAACAGGAAAGTTTAATATTAAGCAATTCAGTAACATTTTCCAGTCACATTTTTTTAAGTATCTCAACGTTCCAGTGGAATTGTGGGCCTAATCAATGATTGCAATTTCCATTTTTAAATTAAAAGGTTTGCTCATGTTTGGAGACAGCAAATGCAACCCTGGTGGGAATTATCAGGTGCTTCTTTGAATCATTCAGTGTTTCTTACCCCTAAGTGGTCCAACAAACTCCAGAATACTGTAGCTACAGTTCTTCATACGCGTCTGCTAAATGGCATATATATATATATATATATCCTCCATACTTCATAGGCCTGCTAGGGTGAGTCTACAACCTATTCCCACCAGTCAGGACGGCGCCCCTTGCCCTTTTCCCAGGCCCACCCTAACCTCTATGGGGCGGGCAAACACAAACTCCCTCTCGCCGAGGCGTTGGTTCCTTGTCTGGTGCCCGTGCGTTCTCAAAGCCTACGCAATGCCACACGTCACAGCACCCAGGCTGACCTGGATTTCCTTTTTGCATATCAAGGCCACTTATTCCTTATCAGACCTAGATCAGACCTGGGTTCAAATACTATTCGAAATCATTTCATATACTTTATTGGGGCTTGACTGAGCCTGCCATTTTAAAATAGTATTTGAACCCAGGTCTGTTCCTATTACATAACGTACTCTATGTTAACTGCAAATAATTACTTGGGAAACACTAGACCATATTAATCACACATGGCACACGGTTAGGTAGGGGTGAATGACAGTTCTAACTAAAGCGGTTCTATTGCAATGAAAAATAAAACTGTTACGATGTAATATTCAAGAGAATCCCCAACAAAACAACTCCAAGCTTAGTAAAAAAGGTAAACTACTACTACATGTTAGCTGTACATAGTGTAACGATGTCGCAGGTTTCGATATCTCATATCATCCTACAGGAGAACAAGAAAATGGTCTTTGCAAGATGAATGTCTTGCATTTTACAGTATAATGTATGAGAACAGTAATACTGGTCACAGCCTCTCCATAGCTTACAATGTTATGTGCCGCAGCATTAGGCCTATGTGACAATCCACATACACTGTAGTTGCCATTGAGCCCATCTGTACAGATACAGCATAACTGTTACCCTGTACACACGGTTGCCTAGAAACAACATGCATTTCAAAACGTCAGTTGAAATTAGCCATACAGAGTCACAGATTACATTATGTGCACCATCCTTTAAATAGACAACACGCTTCATGTCATATTGAGCTAATATTGACAATTAGTTACCCACAATCAGACTTGTGCTTTGTATAACCCAAAACATACACCACACTGTTCTTTAGTACAATTATGGATGCCTTGGTTATAGTCGCTCAGGACGACGTAAAATCAACTTTTGATTGGCCAAGGCCAGACACACACAAGCTGTGTTTTGCAGAGTCACGACGGGAGGAATTATACTGCAAAAAAAGTATAAAAATAACAAACAGTGAGAAAATACTTTTTGGACCATGTTTTTGGATTTCCATGTTGCTCGATAATCGTGTTCTTTCAACGCCAGTACCGCAAGGCTAGAACACTTTCTTTCATTTCAAAAGGATAACAGCAAAACAGTATATAGAGTTTATATACAGTACTGTACATACTGTTTGGCAAAGGCTATTCTGCCTTAGCGCTTCACATTCAAACTACAGTATGGTGCCTACATTATGGTATACTATGTAAACACACACAAAAAGTGATTCTCTATGACCAGACACTGTGTAAGGTCAGTATAGAGAAAAGTCGTGTTTGTAATATTTGCTTCTTGTGTGTATTCATGTATATCTGTCTGCTACAACATCACATGCCGTAAAAACGGTTTTAGCTTCATCAACTAAAAAAAGTACCAACTTCAAGTCAACCTTTTCCCATTCCATCATAGAAAAACAACCATTGAAAACATAAAACTTGAAAAGTGGTGGGCACGGGGCAACGTTTTTTTGAGAAACAAGCAGCAACTGTTACTGTAGTAACATACAGTTGACTGATCTGATGAATAAAACCTATAGATCTCAGACACTCGCATACTCATACATCTCTAGTATAAAAAGTAGCTCAATTTCTCTATATATAAATCTCCTATAGATACATCACAATGTCAATTTCCCCTCCCCCCTCATTCCAATGTATCCTGCATTGACTTCTACTGTGGACTTCTATAGACTACAGTATAGTCTATAACTACCTATAAGTATATATATCCTAAAACCCCTTAGGGAATCATCAGGAAGGAATCAAGCCGGTTTTTCACTCCTCCTCTATCTCTCCATCTACTCTTCCTCCTCCTCATCATCATCTTCATCGTGGCAGTGGGTGATCTCCTGGGGGGTCTGGGGGAACATGTTGGGGGGTTTGATCTCACTGATGGACCGGGTCAGCTGGCTGCGGTTCTTGTTGCTACAGCACTCCAGGTCCTTGCTGTCGGTGCAGTGGCGGTTGCGTGTGGCCAGGGGGGACTCGGTGTCCGTGTCGATGTGCGCGTGCTCCACCGTTGACTCGTGGGGCATCTGGGAAGGGGGGAGAGAGAGAGAGAGACAGCGAGAGAGAGAGAGAGAGAGGGTGAGGAGAGAGGCTACTACCAAAGTCAACTCCGACCACTTCCAGTTGGCTAATAGCTAGTAAAGAGAGTTTCAGCTCACCAATACGTTTTTATGATAAAAATATTATTACCATGCGTTGAACTTGTTATACAGAATATTGATTATTGTGTGTATGTGATGTGAATGTTTCAGATAATATGTCTGGTAAAGACATTTGTATTGAATTGAAATGAGAGGATAACTCCCCCTCATAAATACCAACTCTAATGCAAATTTCACTCTGCATGTCAGTTTTTCAGCTAGATGGGTGCCAGACTATGTAAGGGTTCAGTCTAAGTTAATAAGAGTCAAGTACTGTATATTTCTAATTAAACTAGCCGGAAATGTTGATTCATGTGCATCTTAATTTCCAATTAAGAAAAGAAAGGGCTGTATCTTATGCTATTTTCTCTACAATATTTTATTCTGTAAATGCTGCATTTCTTCAGTTTTTTTTGTAAACTGTTAGCAAGAATCAACAAACTAATTCAATAAAGTAAGTGACTCACCAGTACGTGTGCAGCTCTGAAGAGGTAGCTGAAGGGATAGTACAGGAGGTTGATGAAGGAGGCAGCGTACAGGTCAGCATAGCGCATCACCTGAGAGGCAAACAGAGTCTGTCTGGAGCCAGACCTGAACAGACTACCCATCATACCATAGCACATGTCCATGTCATGGGTCACTTTCTGGGGAGGGGAGAACAACACTGGGTTTAGTAAAGATACTCAGCCAAAAGACACTCAGACAATATTTCAAGCTCTGATAGAAGAACATGATGACCATTGTCAGATATGTTTTAAATGTATGGTATTGTGCTCTTGTGTTACGTTTACATGCTGACTACTTCCTGCTGACCTCTTGCCAGGTCCCCCTCTAAAGGGTATTTTCCTGGTTAAATACAAAATTCCTCTAGGAGGACAATGGAAATTCAACGACTTGTGTTCCGGTATATCCAAGCCTTCGACGGGACGGGAGGAGGATCAAAGCCTATTTTCAGGAATTTACTGAGGGGTTATAAGACCATATAAGTCCCCAGTTGGGAATGATATGGTTTAAAGACAAAACTGAAACCTGTAACTATTCAGGGACACATGTGGACATATTGTATAATGTTTCTCTAATTGCTATGGAAACACGTGTGTAGAATCTGTACCTTGACCCTTCTCTGGAGAGCACTGATGTCAGGCCTCTCATTACTACTGCTGTCCAGATGCCTGGAGAGATCGAGAGATAATGGGTTAGATAGAGGGCAAGAGGTACAGAGAAGAAGGGGATTGAGAGAGAGAGTGAGAGCGAGAGCGAGAGCGAGAGCGAGAGAGAGAGGACAGTGCCAGTCACTATTATAAAGAGTAAGGGGGAAAGGGGACTGGCCTAGATAGATAGACTTCAGCCAGTTTAGAAACAGTAATCTGACTGTGATGCCAGTTATCAGATCGATGGGGCCAACCCTGTAGACTTTGGTCCAAGGTCGACACACACACGCTCGCACACACACAGGGAGCTGACGGCGCCACACACAAACACACACACTCAAACACAGTCGTTCACACACACACGCCAGGTGCAGAGGCAGCCTAGAGAGCGAGCAGAGGGGTGCTGTAGGGGAGTAGATGGCGCAGTACTCACTTGTAGAGCTCTGCCAAGAAAATGTCCAGGCCCTGCAATTCCTCGAATAATGCTGTAAAACAGAAGAGGAAAGGGAGGCCAGGGTAAGTATCACAGTCATAAAATATCTCCCTCTCCCTTCATCAGTGGTGGGAAAAGTACAGATACCCCCCAAAAAACTACTTAAGTATTTTTACTTAAGTACTTTACACCACTTCTCTTAAATCACTGGTGTTGGCTCACTCTTGTTCCATCTGTCGCTTTTCCATTCTCCCCCTCTTTCATTCTCTTTCTCTCCCTCTCTCATTCACCCTCTCTCATTCACCCTCTCCCTCTCTCATTCACCCTCTCCCTCTCTCATTCACCCTCTCCCTGGTACGCTGTCACACACAGTCACAGACAGGCCAGTGAGAGGTTTGCGAGGGCATTTTACAGCTACAATGACACTTCACAATTATGTTTGTGTGTGTGCCTGTGCATGAATGTGTGTGTATGCAAGTGTGTGCAAACGTGTCACTGCTATAATATACTGTATGTAATATACAGTGCCTTCAGAAAGTATTCACACCCCTTGACTTTTTTCACATTTTGTTGTTACAGCCTGAATTTCAAATTAAATTGAGGTTTTGTGTCACTGGCCTACATACAATACCCCATGTCAAAGTGGAATTATGTTTAGACATTTTTACTAATTAATAAAAAATGAAAAGCTGAAATGTCTTAAGTCAATAAGTATTCCACTGCTTTCTTATGGCAAGCCTAAACATTTGCTTAACAAGTCACATAATAAGTTTAACAAGATTTTTTAATTATTAACTCATCTCTGTACCTCACACATACAGATAATTGTCCCTCATTCGGGCAGTGAATTTCAAACACAGATTCAATCACAAAGACCAGGGAGCTTTTCCAATGCCTCGCAAAGAAGGACACCTATTGGTAGATGGGTAAAAATATTTTAAAAAAGCAGACATTGAATATCCCTTTGAGCATGGTGAAGTTATTAATTACACTTTGGATGGTGTATCAATACACCCAGTCACAACAAAGATACAGGCGCCCTTCCTAACTCAGTTGCCGGAGAGGAAGGAAACCGCTCAGGGATTTCACCATGAGGCCAATAGTGACTTTAAAACAGTTACAGAGTTTAATGGTTGTGATAACTGAGGATGGATCAACAACATTGTAGTTACTCCACAATACTAATATAAATGACAGCGTGAAAAGAAGGAAGCCTGCACAGAATAAAAATATTCCAAAACATGCATCAAAAACTTCAAAAAATACTTCATGTCCTGAATACAAAGCGTTATGTTTGGGGCAAATCCAACACAACACATCACGGAGTACCACTCTTCATATTTTCAAGCATGGTGGTGGCTGCATCATGTTATCGGTATGCTTGTCATCGGCAAGGGAGATTTTTAGCATAAAAATAAATGGAATAAAGCGAAGCACAGGCAAAATCCTAGAGGAAAACCTGGTTCAGTCTGCTTTCCAACAGACACTGGGAGACAAATTAACCTTTCAGCAGGACAATAATCTAAAACACAAGGCCAAATATAACCTGGAGTTGCTTACCAAGATTACGTTGAATGTTTCTAAGTGGCCTAGTTACAGTTTTGACTTAAAATTGGCTTGAAAATCTATGACAAGACTTGAAAATGGCTGTCTAGCAATGATCAACAAACAATTTGACAGAGCTTGATTATTTTAATAATGTGCATATATTGTACAATCAAGGTGTGCAAAGCTCTTAGAGACTTACCCAGAAAGACTCAAAGCTGTAATCACTGCCAAAGGTGATTCTAACATGTATTGACTCAGGGGTGTGCATACTTATGTAAATGAGATATTTCTGTATTTCATTTTCAATAAAACACAAACATGTGTCATTATGGGGTATTGTGTGTAAAAATTTTATTTCATTTTGAATTCAGGCTGTAACACAACAAAATGTGGAATAAGCCAAGGGATATTAATACTTTCTGAAGGCACCGTATGCCATTTAGCAGACGCTTTTATCCAAAGCGACATACAGTCATGCGTGCATACATTTTACGTATGGGTGGTCCCGGGAACCGAACCCATAATTCTGGCCGTTGCAAGCGCCATGCTCTACCAACTGAGCTACAGAGGAATACTGCTCTCTAGTGTGTGTGTGTCTATCAGCCTCTGCCTGTGTGCACACGGCTGTCTAGCTAATTGCATGGGTTTGTCCGTCCGTCCTTTTGTGTGTGTGACTGTGTGTGTGTGACTGTGTGTGTGTGACTGTGTGTGTGTGACTGTGTGTGTGACTGTGTGTGTGACTCACAGCTCTTGTCAGTCCAGACATGCAACTCCTGGGCCAGCTCGGGGATGACCAGGAAGGTCCTCCAGCCCTGGCGTTTCTTGGACTTGAGGATGTCCCCGAAGATGTGGTCTCCGATGTAGACGATGTCCTTGCCCTTGGCCCCCAGCAGGTCACACACGATGTCAGAAGAACCTGGGGGAGAGAGAGGGACATATTGAAATGTAGATGTTGTTTTATTAAAGAATGGATGTTGTTTTATTAAAGATTTAACCTTGTTGTTTTTAGATTTATCCCATTGTTTTGTTTTTAGGGCTCCCAGGGCTCCCTGGAGAACAGTGAAAGTTGTTGAGAAGACAATGCTGGCTAAATAAAGGTTAACTGAGATCCATCTTGTTTATAAGTCCTCTACTAGTTAGATGATTTGTGAAGTTTGAAGTGCTATGAGTCAGTGTATTTCCCCAGGTAATATATCTTACCTCCAGAGTAGACAATGCCATGGTGCAGGGGTCCTGTGTAGGTCCCGATCTTCAGCCGCCCTGTCGTCTAACAACAGAGAACACATAGAACAGTAGCTTCACTCCAAACAGTAGCCTCACCGCAAAACAATGTCAAGTACTGGCCCTCGATTATAAATTTTGTAGAAGTTGTACTTCACATTGTGTGACCAATTAGCTATTAGGTTACCCCACTATTAGGTTACCTCACTATTAGGCTACCCCACGTGTGCGGCTACCATACTATTAGGTTACCACACTATTAGGCTACCCTGCGTGTGCGGCTACCACACTATTAGGCTACCACACTATTAGGCTACCACACTATTAGGCTACCCTACGTGTGCGGCTACCACACTATTAGGCTACCACACTATTAGGCTACCCCACATGTGCGGCTACCACACTATTAGGCTATCACACGTGTGCGGCTATCACACTATTAGGTTATCACACTATTTGGTTATCACACTCAAAGTCTTGGCATGGTATTCTGACAGAACCCCTTCTCCATCTGTGTGAGTGTAGAGGTGTGAGGGTGTTTTACTCACTGTGTCGACTTGTCTGAGCACCGTTCCCTCTCCAAAGAACAGAGGCTTCCTGGCGTCCACCAGAATCAGGTCAAAGTATGACTGCCACGGCCGGTGGGACGTCCCGTGCTGCAACACAACCACAGACAGATTCTGGTCAATATGTACAGACTATAGTTAACAACATGCATCTATATAAGTTAAGAAGATTTCATGTCTATGGAAGAATCCCATGTATGAATGTTCAAATTATTCTCTTACCTTTGGGCCGTGGGGGAAGTCAAAAAGGTATGTCATGATCTTCTGTGAGAAAATTAAACGACATAACAAGTCTATTAGTCATCTCATTTAAATGCCTTTGTGACTGGGACAGATGCTGTAGCTATACGCCCCAGTTCAGTATGCAAACACATCACCCCAGTTTCATATGCAAACGTGACAGTTTGCCAGGACATGTTTTGTGAAGGTGTGTGTACGTTTGCTTTGCACATTAATGTTGTTTTGCATGGACGTTTAACAAGGCAGGACTTCCCTATTGTTTTGGACTCTGAAGGTGTCTGTTACTGTGTATTGCGCATGTGAAGCGTCCATTCCCCATTGTGTGTGTGTAAACAGTGGTCAGTACTGTGTACTCACGTGTGTGTATTTGTAGTCACTGTTGGTGGCCAGGAACACCTTGGCTACTTCATTCATTCTACTCAGCAGGAGAGGTAACTTTGCCTTCATGGGAGAGAACATTAAATATTACAAAGTCATTATCATATACAGTGTGTTCCTACGGGAATACAGACAGACTTCAAGTAACTGTTAACCTATTTGAAGTCATGTTAGTGTGTTCCCATAGGAATATGATATACCGTATTTTCCGGACTATAAGGCGCACCGGATTATAAGGCGCACCTTCAATGAATGGCCTATTTTAGAACTGTTTTCATATATAGGGCGCACCGGATTATAAGGCGCATAGAATAGAAGATACTGCAGTCAAACGTTTGACTGGGGTTGCGTTATGCATCCACTAGATGGAGCTGTGCTAAAGGGAATGTCAACAAAACAGTCAGATAAAGTCAAACTTTATTAAGCATTCTGACAACAATTTTGGGGTCTTTATACACACACAAGTGGTGTGGGACTGTGAGTAAGCACAGTACCGGTGTTTACTGACTACTGTAGCCGTAATGCTGCAAGCGGTGCGGCTTTGTAGTTTACCAGTCGTACTGAAACATTTCATTATTATTAAATTGTTTTTATTGGTTTTTCATACTGAAACATTTTGACAGAGCGCCTTGAGCGCCGTGTACAACCAGTATGGATCAACCAATTAACCAATTGATCCATATATAAGGCGCTCCGGATTATAAGGCGCACTGTCGTATTTTGAGAAATGTAAAGGCTTTTAAGTGCGCCTTATAGTGCGGAAAATACGGTAAATTGAGCGGTAAAGGGGCTGATAAAATGTTAACGTGTGTACTTACATCTCTCACTACGTATTTTTCAAGGTTCTCTACTGTCTTTTCCTTCAGGGTGCCCTGGAAGACAGGACTACAGGTAAATGGGTTGAAATACATAGAAAAATAACAAGTATTCATGTATATCATACAAAATGTCTTCTTTATGATGGCACTCACTGTAAACCATCTCAATCAGTCAGTGTACATACCATTAGCACTACGATAAACAATAAATGATTGCTTCAAGATAAAGATCATTGTGCGTTTACCCCAAATACTACCTTGAAATGGAAGTAAAGTGAATTGAAGTGACTAAATTATTGCTTTGTGATAGACTTCATCATCACGCTACCTTGAAGTGGACCCAATCGACGGCGTCGCGGATGTCCTGGAACATGCTCTTGAAGGACATGAAGAGGTCGCCATCTTTAAAGCCCGTCTCACAGCTGAGGTAAGGGGGGAGGAGAGGGACACACAGAGCCAGTGGACAGGCCAAGGCCAGACAGAGAGCTTTGCTTTTAAACGCTAGTAGCCATTTTCACTACATTTTTGTTTTGTTTTTGTTTTGCTTTTAAATGGGATAGTCTTCCCTTGTTTGAGGTGGTTTCCAGCCAAACAGGAAAGCAATCTCCCCCTAAAAGACCAACAACTCATTTCAGAGGAGAAGACATGCAGCCATTCCATTGCAGATTACATCGTCACACATAGAATTCATTAAAACTATCGCTAACAAATGATTGTATAATTATATCAAGAAGATAGACATCATGATATTACATCATGCTAGATGATGATTAGTCATTACATATTAATTTACATAATAAAAAGTAATATAATCTGAAGATATGGAATTTAGAATTACATTACTGCATGCATTCGTTGAATGATTAGTATCAAAGATCAATAATCATTCAGATAGCGGAGTAATCCTAATAAAGTATCTAGTTTATGACACAATAAAGGGTTGTCCTATTGCTCAACCACTGGCTTATCAGGGTTAGGGCTAGAGGATTTTTTTTGGCTGAGATATGGACCTACCCTGTTGTCATGTTGTCTAATTGGCTTATCACTGTTGCCATGTCATATCCAGGAATTAGTTGCATATTTATTATATAACAAACAAGAAAAATAAGGTGGGTAGTGTGATTAGGGATTCCTTACCTTGCATATCTGTCACAGTTTGAGAAGAAGTCCACGAGGCAGGCAAAGAGGTAGGTCTCTGTGGAGAGAGAGGGAAACTGTACTATAAAATCAATCGAGTGTCAATAAAGTTGAGTTGAACTCCATGGCCTTGCCTCAAACTGTGCTCAGACAAAATGGAGGGCATGTCTGGGCTTGTCCCTCTTATGAATGACAGTTGTATCTAGATGGAGATAAAAACATTTTTAAACAATGTAATGGCTCTGTCATGGACAGAATCTCTCCTCCTTCTACCTGGCAGGTTGAAGAGAGTGTTGAGGATATAGAAACGTTCAGTATCGTCACGTTGGATGAACTTGTTCGGGTATAGCTCCCGAATTTCAGGTCTGGGGAGAGAAGAGAAAAATAAAATACAATGTCAGGAGACTTTCTTGGCAGGTAGATCTAACCTTCAAAGCGGTCAATGATCAGGGGGAGGGGATGTAGGGAGGACATTGTGAGAAGGTTAGGAGAGTATTGGGTTCACTATTTACCCTCGTAGGAAATTGAACCCGTGGACACAGACCAGGATGTTGCCGTACGCATCCACCTTCAACAGGTTCCCATACATGGTGTCAAACACCAGGCCTCTGAAGAAATACAGAGAAAAAACATGATTCAGTCAGTTATAATACATCTATAAATAGTTTATACATGATCTTTAAAAAGACCATCAGAAAATCTACCTAGCTACAACCAGGACCAAATTAGAAACCCACGCATCCAGGTACAAATATAGCATTAAAACGTCCTCACCATGGCAACAATGATGTGATAGGTACCTGGTAATAAAGTACAGATAGTGCCCCGTTGATAAAGCATTTTCCTTTATTTTTTTATAGCATTATAACGTCGTCGCCATGGCAACAACATTAACTGTGGTATGATGTGATTGGTGGTCACCTGGTGTGTGTATGTGTGTGTGTGGTCACCTGGTGGGGAAGGCGGGGTCGTAGACGAAGCTGAGCAGCTCCTGGGGGTAACCGATGTGGACCAGGCGCTCCACAGTCAGCTCAAAGCCCAGGGACTCATACTCTGGAGACTTGTACACTGGAGAATAGAAACACACACAGAGACACACATTAGCATTAAACACAAGCCGGTATAGGCTACACAGAGTCACACGTTAGCATTTAACACAAGCCAGTATAGGCTACACAGAGTCACACGTTAGCATTTAACACAAGCCAGTATAGGCTACACAGAGTCACACGTTAGCATTTAACACAAGCCAGTATAGGCTACACAGAGTCACACGTTAGCATTTAACACAAGCCGGTATAGGCTACACAGAGTCACACGTTAGCATTTAACACAAGCCAGTATAGGCTACACAGAGTCACACGTTAGCATTTAACACAAGCCAGTATAGGCTACACAGAGTCACACGTTAGCATTTAACACAAGCCGGTATAGGCTACACAGAGTCACACGTTAGCATTTAACACAAGCCGGTATAGGCTACACAGAGTCACACGTTAGCATTTAACACAAGCCAGTATAGGCTACACAGAGTCATACATTAGCATTTAACACAAGCCAGTATAGGCTACACAGAGTCATACATCAGCACTCCATGATGCCTATACAGTGACATAACAACACTGGGACACCATACATTTAGGAGGAGAAGGACGTAGGAGGAAGTCAAGTCTAATTGCCTGTTCGCGAATGGACTACTCTGTAAATAGCAGCCTCCCATTTATCCTCAACCAGCCAATGTGGGCCCATTCAACTCCACTAGATAACAGTACGTAAGCTATTGCAACGTGCCACAGGTATTTAAAAAATAACCCTAACCGTCAGTGTATCTGAGATACTGCTGGTAATAACATAGCCTCTCTCCCCCTAAAGTTACACACACACACACACACACAGAGCGCGGGGGACTGAATATCCTATGATCTAATCCGTGGAGAAACAGGATCCATAGCTCAACTCTCAACTCTGGTTCTAATTAGGCCTGTGGAGACGATGACATTCAGAGACCAAACAACCAGACTTCTCCAGGGTCCTGTTCATTAGGGCACGTGACGGAAAACATTTTTCAAGGTTTTGCAACGGAAAAGGATAATAAGCCTTTCTTATTGGGCAATTCCACATAGTCCCTCCCTGTTTCAGTCCATTTTCCTCCGTTTGGTGCCTAATGAACACACCCCCAGGCCTAACGAGCAAAGCCAGGGATGAAGGGGAAAAGTAGAGAGGGATTCAATGTCCAGGCCTGGGCCAGAGAAGCCTATCAGCCGATTACAATGCTAACTGACATTGGAAGAAGGAGCTGTCAGATGGTATTAATATAAAGGGTGTTTTTCCACATTAGGTCCAATCAGGCTGCAGGAGGGGAGGACTTGGCTGATGCTTAGAGGGAGCAGGAAGGGCGATGTGGGGCTAAGCTAGCTAGCACAGAGACCCCAAACGTGGAAGGAATAGGCCTGGGCAAACATCTGTGTCTTACTGAGTTAGCGTGCACAGACAAACCGATAGACAGAGACAGAGAGAGAGACAGAGAGCGAGAGAGGTCTGTGAGTGTGAATAAGTCTAGATACACGTCCTTCTTAGTGTAACGTGTGTGTGTGTGTGTGCATGAGTGTGTATTTACCCATTTGTGTGTTTGCCTCTAAGCCCAACTGTGTGTTTTCTCTCTCTCTGGTGAGTTCAAATCCCCTGTGGCGTTCCAGTGTCCCTAGCTAGCTAGCGGAGCAGAGGAGTGGTGGGCAGCGCGCCCAGTGCTGCAGCCTCGAAGAGTCGCACAGTCCTGGGCCAGATTCTTCCATACAAATAGCCCCCCCCATCGCACCATCCCTGCCTCCATTTCCCTAAGCTCTGTGGCTGTTACAAAGAAACCTATTTTGAGAGTATTTTCCCCTCCGTCACCTTCCCTCTCGCTCTCTTTGGTTGGCCGGCGAAGAGCCGAGCTCTCTCCCTCGCACTGTCCACTGCTGCGACCTTCAGACAGCTTTAGTTTAAACACACACAGGCGGGGAAACACACACACAAGGCCTATTTATGCCTGTATATATAGCACAGTCTAGTCCAGGGATGGGCACCTTTGATGGGGGTGGGGGCCACAAAAAAACTGAACTCATCATGATGGGCCGCAATGGGTCTGTGTACCCACATCCATACCCCCTCACCTTGCGAGCAAAACATTTTAGCGGGCACCCCTCGTGACAGCGAAAAAAAAAAAAACTGATGATCAATGGGCCCCACCCCGGTCAGTAATTTGACCATGGTTACTAGAGATTTAGATAGCTAGACTAATTTACAGATCTAAAAAAACTAACAGTAAGTTGAGATTCCGACAAAGTAAAACAATTAAATATATAATAAATAAAAAATGTGGGGGGGAGGGGTGAAATTGTCCGGTGGCCCATCCCTGGTCTAGTCCAATAGATTCACAGGTCTATGACCATGTTTTAGTTAAAGGGTTACGTTGTTTACCCTTAGGTGAGGGGTATAGCTTACATTTGGGACGAAAGTGACGCTGGAAGGCTGTAAATTATTGCCTGGTAACAAACACACACTTAGCTTGGGGATCCATTACCACCTCCTCTCCTGACGCAGTCGTTGACAGATAATTCCCTTAAGCTGTGTGTGTGTGTGCGTGGTGTGTGTGTGCGTGCGTGCGCATTACCAGGCTATAATTTACAGCCCTCCAGGGTCACTTTCATTCCAAATGTAAGCTATACCCCTCACCTAAGGGTAAACAACGTAACCCTTTAACTAAAACATGGTCATAGACCTGTAAATCTACTGGACTAGACTGTACTATATACAGATACATAAATAGGCTTCATCCCAAATGGCACCCTATTCCCAACATAGTGCACTAATTTTGACCAGAGCCCTATGGTACCAGGTCAAAAAAAGTGCACTATATAGGGAATACGGTGCTATATGGAACGTAGGCATAGCTTATGACATATGAAGTGTCTTCTGTCCAACTTCCTGGTTGCTAATTATAGGCCTAAATAAGTATCTAGCTGTCTCGGAGGGGGGTCCAGACATCGCTGTCACTTTGACAGCAGTATCTTTATTAGACAGCAACACCGTGTCAAAATAACATCAATTAACATGAGTACTACTAGTAGCTTGGGCTCCGCTCTGCCAAAGGCTAAGAGTTAGCCTAGCATAGCATAGCATAGCATAGCCTAGCTTATTCTAAACCGAACGGCTTTCAGGCTAATCACCATGCTACAATAGAACAGTGAAAAATAATCCTGTGCCCCATAGAACTAACAGGTCAACAGTGTGGCTCCATTGTCAGTTGAGCTTCTCAGAACAGTGGAGTCTCTCAGTAGGTTGTTTTCATAACAGTATGTGTGCGTGTGTGTGTCATTTGAACTACAGTACAGTGAAGCCTCTCTCTACATTTACATTTAAGTCATTTAGCAGACGCTCTTATCCAGAGCGACTTACAGTTAGTGCATACATTACTTTTTTCATACCCCCCGTGGGAATCGAACCCACAACCCTGGCGTTGCAAACGCCATGCTCTACAAACTGAGCTACATCCTCTCTAGGTTGTGTTTTCAGAACAGCGAGGAGTCGAGGACAGATGTGTCAGCCAGCGATGCTGGGGGTATCTAGTTACCACGGTAATTTGCTAGAGGCGAGTGGACGGGGACAGTGTTAGGCCACAGAGCTGTCATCACCGGATTATTTCATGACCTTTGATATAAACCACAGTTAATGACGGATGACCTATCATAGAAGGGCATGGTTCAACTAATGCCCTTCTCTTTTACCAGGCATCATGATCTTAATATGGAAATACTGTATATAGGACTATCATATTGATATGGAAATACTGTATATATATTTATTTTTATTTTTTATTTTACCTTTATTTAGCTAGGCAAGTCAGTTAAGAACAAATTCTTATTTACAATGATGGCCTACACTGGCCAAACCTGGACGACGCTGGGCCAATTGTGCGCCGCCCTATGGGACTCCCAATCACGGCTGGTTGTGATACAGCCTGGAATCGAACCAGGGGGTCTGTAGTGACGCCTCAAGCACTGAGATGCAGTGCCTTAGACCGCTGCGTCACTCGGGAGCCCCATATATAGGACTATCATATTGATATGGAAATACTGGAGCACTTCATGACATTTGATCTTCTCTGTGTGACACACAGCTAATGACAGAAGGCCTATCATGGAAGAACATGGTTATTTTTACCAGATATCATGATCCTCATATGGATGTATACTGTATGGTTATGGTCTACTTACAGTAAGAGGATTTGTTGTAGATTGAACCACGTTGTTTGAAAACAATTGTGTACAACTCCTAAAAAAAAACTCCTTAAGATAAGAGAGAACAGCCCTCCTTTTAAATCCTCACTATAAAGAGAAACCAATGTATAGCCGACCTGCTGCCATGAGAAGTCGTCCCAGTGAGTGGTTTGACTCTTTAGGCGCTATCTATCTAGCTAAACGTGCTTCAGTGACTCAGCTAACAGGAGGGTTGGTAATTCCTCTATAAATACAGTGTGTGTGTCTGACTTTGAGGAGGGGGTCATCCCTAGGGAAAGGGGATAGCTTGTACCCGTAAACACACATACGGACCATATCACATTTCCATCATCTGAGGGTAGATTTTACAGATGCTCAACTGTTGACATGTAGCCTCTTTATATGGGACGGCCCATAACCAAGTGATGATGTTTACAAGATGCCAGGGCTATCGTATCGCTTCACTCAACGCTCGAGTTGCGACCGCAGGAACGGGCTGTGGCGTCCCCGGCCAGAGCACGACACAGCGACACCTCAGCCTCCTGCAGTCACTGGGGAGAACCTTAGCTCGGGTTCTGGTTCGTCATGCAGTTAAAATCGGGCACGGACGCATGTCAACACCATCATTAACACATTGTGTCAAGAGATGTCCCCTAATTGGCTTTGGCCTAGCCTTCATGTGGTTGACCGTCAGTTCAATGGATTATGGACAACCTATTGTCACTTGGAAAACTATTAGCAAATTACTGCTACTATTTTACTATTGCTTAGTCCAATACAGAGAAACTGTACTAGTGTGAGGATAGTTTTAGCCATGCACTTGAGGTCAAAGAGTTTTGTTGTTTACAAATTCCAATGACAGAAGTGAATAAAAACAGTCGCTCAATACCTCTAAGCTACCATCTAAATCGAACTAGATTCAGTTCATGCGTTTTCCTCCCCATTACAGAATGCTTCTGAAGAACTCACCTTTTTCCATCATCGCTGTACCCCAAGAAACCTACACCTTCCCTGTCCTTCTACCCACGACCCCTAGCCCCCCTAGGCCCCAGTGAGTCTGGTCTGGGCTTATCGAATGACACGTGAGCCTCTGTTCTGACCCGGAGTACTTTGTCAACAAACACTGAAGGAGAAATCAATATGGCCGACGACTAATTGCTATGCCAACCGAACGAGAGCTGACTTAGCCAACATTGTAAAGTCTGGACGGTGTGCCGAGGGCGCACACACCACACACACTGTAAAGAAGCGTTGACGGCCAGGGCAGCGACTGTAGGGCACTTACCAGCTAGAGTGTAATCCATATCGAAGCCAAAGCATTTAATCTTCTCCATGGCCAAGCTTCTGTTTACAAAAACTCTAAAAAAGGGAGAAAACAGAGAAGGATAGAATCAGAAGGGTGATTTTGAGAGACATACAAGACAGTACTACCTCTGTGTGCAAGGAGAAGATTAGGAGAAGTTGGCTCTCTCACAGAAGAAGAATGAGCGGAGGTATTTTTCTGATGAAATCCTATATTAACCATCTTGTGATGGGGTCTCATTTTGAAATATAGCCTAACAAACATCTAAAATTGATTTGCATGGCCTCAAAACAGATATTAGAAACAATCTGACACAGATAATGAAGTCAGTAAGCTCTTATTTTCTCTAGCCTTACAAGTACAGTTCCCACCCATGTCTTCAAAACATAGGAATTTGAGTGTTAGACAGCTAGCCCTTTGACAGTGCATTGCTTCCTGCAGGGTACGTTCACAAGCGCACACTATGGCAAAACATTTAGCAATGGACAACAAAATGAGCATTTCTTATTGGACAAGTTCCATCCCCGTTTCAGTCCTAATGAACATGACTCTCCATTCTGCATAGACAGCATGTTCACCGTGGCAGCTCAACTAGCTCAACTGTTCCCGGTGGTAAATCTGAAGGCATGGTAGGGGGACCTGCATGGCCGGAGTGGTCGGCATTGTTGGCATATCCTGCCTGACACTTTCTGATCCAGCCATCTCCAATGGCAGGCCAGGCCAGGCAGCTCCAGCCAGAGAGATCTCTGTTCCTCTGGTTCTAGGCTTCACTGTGTTAGCTCAGCCTAGCCTGCTACCTACAGCTTTTGAACAAACTACCACAAAACAACTTATACGGCAAAGTAACTCGTATCACAAAGATTAGGCTACACATAGAATTTCGCCGTACATGTTTTTATAAATATGTTGGTATTCAAAGAAGTCTCCAGATGTTTTCAAGCACAAATCAATGTAATTAATCTAGCAATTTATTTCTATCCAGTTCAACAATTGCATATCTGTTACTGTCACGATCGTCAGATATAGAGGACCAAGGCGCAGCGTGGAAGGTGAACATACATATTTATTAAATGATACACGAACAAAACAACAAATCGATACGTGACGTCCACAGGTGCAAAACACAAACCAACACGGAACAAGATCCCACAAACACTGTGGGAAAACCACCTGACTAAATATGGTTCCCAATCAGAGACAACCAGCAACAGCTGATACTCGTTGCCTCTGATTGAGAACCACTCTGGCCAACATAGATAAACAAAAACTAGACACAACGAGCACAAAACATAAACTCTACACACCCTGGCTCAACTTAAAAGAGTCCCTAGAGACAGGGCGTGACAGTTACTAAGGAGATTGAAAACAGGTTCTACAAACCTGTTTTACTTTGCTCCAAAACAATCAATCAATATCTATGCGAGTTTCTGTATGACACAATCCTAATTTTCACAACACCCTAACACTACTCTTTTCCTATTCAAGGAAATAGTAGGTCCGGGACGACAACAGTATCGCGATACACGTTAGTATCATGGCAAGGAAACAAAACAAAACACAATTCAAATTTAACTTCTTTACAAAAAAAAGCCCTAATGTTGGAAACAGACATCATTATGCTGTCATCCAGAGTCACATGTATGTATTTTCCAAGCTATAGCACAATATTTTACATACAGCAGGTTTTTAAAGGAGCAAAGAATTTGGTCTGCTTCGTGTTTTCATTTTGACCACGGAAAACATATTGTGATACTGGTATGGTCCCGGCCCTAGGAAATAGACCATAAAACATTCAGAAATGATCCAATATTTTGTCATTACCTTGCTGCAGCTCCATACTGAACCAGCTTCCATTGCGAGTTAAACCCGACAGCAGAAAAACGATGCATTCTGTGTCGTGATTAAAAGCGTACTAGCCTGGGCGCTGGCCTAGCCTGCCGTAACGCTATTCCAGCTACAGCCCAGAAACAAAAGAGCCCACTCTCTTTGCTTCCTTGCTATTCAATTTCTGACTTGTTGCAAAAATTATTGTGGCTATTCTGCATCATTCTCTGTTGTTGTTGTTTGTGGTGCCTGTTTGCCACTAGTGTTGTTGGTGGCAGGGAGTTGTTGTTTGCTCGAGCCATCAAAGACATCCAGAACAATCCGTCAGGTGGAAACAGCAACAAACTCAGTCCCTCCCAGGCCCTAAGCCACTGGAGCTAGGCTACTGTACATTACTAAGGCCCAAGCCTGTATTCGCAAAGAGTCTCAGAGTACTAGGATCAGTTTAGTCTTTTAGATGATAATGAATGTGATTGTATGGACCGGGGTGACCTGATCCTAGATCTGCACTCCTACTCTGAGACGCATTGTGAATAGGGGCTATGCTATCCATCAGGAATAAGGAGATTGTAACACCATTCACTGCTTTAAGGAGTCTAACTCAGCAGAATTTCATCAGAAATAGCCTATTACCTGATGCTTACAATCCCTAATATGGATGATACAATTACAATGTCAGTGCACTGGAAGTGAGGTAGACCTACTACTGACACTAAGCTTTAGCTTACAGCTGAGGTCTCTCTAGGCTAACTGATAACAATCGTCTGGAATGTGAGTAGGCCTAAGAAGGATCTACTGTATTCTCAGTATTGAGTACAAAGCGGGGTCTTGAAGTAATGGGTAGATTACTGGACTTCTCCTTGCTACGGTCCCCCTATGAACAGTTTAAATGGTCAAACTGTAGGAGTACAGTTAAGGCCCTCTTTCTGCAAATAGACCAAGATGTTCTGAGGTGAATGTGAGCGGGAGTCAGAAATGTTGAGTACTCTTCTCCCTACTATTGACAAAGAGTGGCGGTGGGGGACAGCCAACTTTGGCCTGATGACTGGGCCTCAAATAGACTGAATGTGTGGGCCGGACTCTTGTACTAGCCTACCATTACCTGATTGTCTGTTTGTCACCACTGTGGTCTGACTGAGGGATTCCCTTTTAGGTGCAGGCCACGTAGAAATAGATTTACTAGAATGGGTAAAGCCCCTCAGAGCACACTGATTCTATTTCTATGTAGTCTATATCTAACAGTGAATCCCTAGCTTAGGCAGACCACAGTGTGTGACAATCAGGCAGATGTGTTCCACCAGTACCCTTACCTTATGGAAACAGTACATTGAACCTACCGTGAACGAGTTTATCTAAGTTGAACAGACCCTTCTCTGTGAGACTTACAAATGGTGTTAGCCTTACTGATTGAGTGGATTGTTTAAGTGTATGGTTTCATCAACCTTTCAGCAAAGATATTATTATTTCTGTAAAGGTTGCTGATATTTTGGAATCGGCAAAGCTTGTTAGACTAGCCCCGACATTTCAAAAAAGTGTTCTTAGATGTACATAAATCTATCAACCCCTCTCTCAAAAACAACAAAAGAACCAGGCAGTAAAAGTTCAATGCTGTTTTTGTGAGGAGCTTACAGATTTCCTGACAGATGCCAAAGTGCCAGTGAAGTCAGTGAACGCAGATAGACCTAACAGTGACACAGTGACAGAAGAGTGACAGCTTTAGCGCCGCTGTAATGTCCATAGGTTGTGTAACCGTATTAAATAACTGCAATTAACCCGCACAAGCACACACAACGTCTCTTTAGTGAAGTTAAACGTTGCACAAGCCACTGTTTATCGCACAGACATGGAGCCAGCATTCCTGCCCACTGCCATTGTGTACCATTAAGGCCAGCTATCCAGCATGCATGTCCACAGGCTTCTTTCCTGTCATTAGATAAAATATATTTAGGGCTCATCTATTTTAGGGTCCCCATTTCCAATTTCCAATTACAAAAGCAAGTGACTGCCAAAACATTGTAACCTATTTTAAGACTGGGCAACACTTTAGCCTATATTTAACGAATTAGAGGGTTAGTTTATCGAGTTAGGACATAGAGAGAGGTTATTTGACCGCTGCACGCAGCTAGTGTAGGACCACACACACACACACACACACACACACACACACACACACTACAGCTGGGACGATAAACAGAATATTATCGACAGGCATTTTGCTGATATCGTTCATTACGATAAGTAGCCTACACTAGAGAAATGTGAAGTTTGAAATGAAATAAGTTCGCTAATATGGATGATTGTTAATGGGACAATTGATGGCTACAACCATCAAACTAGTACTAGTAGTTGAAAGGATCATTTTAAAAACCTGTGGAGCACATTAATGTTATAAACGTATCGTTCTATTTATCATTATCGCATCAATTCAGGCAATTTATCGCGACATGGATTTTTGTCCATATTGCCAAGCTCTAAAACGCACACAAACACATCACAAATGATGTCAGTATTGAGAAAATACATGTGTTTCAGTTGAACAGGATGTTGGTATAACGGTCATGAAGTTCTGAGGAAGACGCTTCAGGAAGTGTTAGATTAAATCCAGAGACTTCAGAACTGAATGTGTGTAAAACAAACTAGTACACACTGACTCTGTAATCTCTCTACATTGCTGACAGGTTGTCGAAAGCTATTTGACAAAAGAATAGCCTACAGCTACACTACACTCAAATCCACAGCGATTTAGAAGGCATACTGAGTCATGATGGAGGTGTGAAAGGAGAATTAGGCTAAGTGGAAATTTGTTTACCCCAAGTTGAAAGACATTTACAAACAGAGGGTTGGGTTTCAACACCTTTATAACCAAGTAGTATCATAGTATCCTGTCATATGTTGCTGTACCTGAAGCCTAATGACTGAGGAAAACAGTGGCACACAGTACCTGGCTATATACAGTAGCTTCATATAACTGAATCTCATTTCACATAATTTACGTTTTAGTCATTTAGCAGATGCTCTTATCCACAGCGACTTACAGGGGCAATTCGGTTTAAGTGCCTTTCTCAAGGGCACAGACAGATTTTTCACCTAATCGGCTTGGGGATTCGAGCCAACAACCTATCGGTTACTTGCCCAACGCTCTTAACCGCTAGGCTATCTTCCCAGTGTCTATCCATATACTTATGGGAACATGTCACCCCTGACAGTATCCATAACCGTGGTAACTAATGTCACTGACAGTGTCCATCCATACATAGTATCCATCCAACCATCGGCCTACCTATGGTCATGTTAACCCCAGGTGTACCCTCCCAGTGTCCATCCATACATACCTATGGTAAGCCTCTCTGCGGTACTTCTTCATGGCCAGCCCGTCCATGTTGGCTGGAAGGTCTGCATAGTTCTGCAGTCTGTCGCTCCATGAAGTGGTCATCTTTAAATCTTTAAAATCCTCTGAAAGTCAATCTAGAGAGGGAGAAAATAAGAGAAATTCACCTTGACATGATTCTGCAGTTTCCTCTCCTTGCCCTTTGAGCATAGGCCTAGCTAAACGTTATATAGGCTTATCTATTTAGCGTCAAATATCTTTGAAATCTTCAAACAGGGAGTATGAACTCTCAAAGAGTTCACTAAACTAGCTCTGCGGAACCTGTATGAACGTGCCACAGTTGCAAGTGACTGCCTCAAAACCGGCTGCATTTGGCCTAATTATGTACTTCTAAGGTGGGGAGAGCCGCCGGGAGGAGACAGCCTAGTCCTCCAGTCACACCGGCTGTTTGTTTTGTCAATGACAGAACAAAAGAGACTCAATAATCTTATCAACTCCCTAAAAGACACTAGGCCTGGTCTGTGTCCCAATTGGCACCCTATTCCATATATACACTGGGTGCCACTTGGGACAGTTTGAGTCACTCTTGACTACTAATGAAATCAAACAGCGTGTGTTCACACTTTGCAGGCCATTTCTATGCATGACTCGTAACGAGCAAGAAGAACAGGGGATTATTGTCATCATCCTGACTGTGGCTAATGAAAAACGTTCGGCCACCGAGGTGGAAGAAATCAAAGGAGTCACTCACTTCTTCTGGGCTACTCAGTTTAAGGGACAAAGAGCGAGGGTAGGTTAGGTTAGATTAAATTAAACCAAGCACACGTGAGGGGAAATAGAGTTGTTTGGGAAAAAAAGGCACAACATGTTCATATGGCTAAACGATCAAAACGGAAATGAAAAGAGCCTTCAGTGCCAGCATGCACATCTGTTCAGTGTTTAGAAGGGTAAAATTCTCAGGGGAAATATTGATGTTTTTAGCTTTCTCTCCAGAGAATGACCAGGTTTTTCTTACATTAACTGCCTTCTCCATCTCCCGGGAGACTAAGGAAGGGGGCAGGAGAAAAAGCTGAGGTCAGCTTTTCTTTGTCACACAACTCGCACATGACACAATACACAAACAAGCGAGTAACTTGGAGGGGTTGAAGGGTGAGGTAGCCAGCAGATCTGACCTTGCTTACAGCTGCACTAGGGTCAGACAGAATTCCTGTGTATATTAAGACAATGTGTTGCCGGCGTGAGATATGGCTCGGAAAACTTACCTCAATTCAGGGATGAGAAATGCGTTGTACTCCGAATTGTCCCATTATCCCAACTGTTACACCGAGAAGATTGAACGAGTGCTCGTTTTTTAGCAGTCGTTCCATCTTCTCGGTGTAACAGTTGGGATATTGGGACAATTCGGAGTACAACACATTTCTCATCCCTGAATTGAGGTACGTTTTCCGAGCCTTATCTCGCACCGGCTCCGCAGTGTCTTAATATGCACAGGAATGCTGTCCAAACCTAGTGCAGCTGTAAGCAAGCGGTTCGGATCTGCTGGCTAAGGGTGAGGGAAAGACTTATCCCCTGCAACTATGAGTTTCCTCGCTCTCAGCTGTGCTAGGGAAAAAGTGACACTTGATGAGGTGCTCTGAAACTGGGTTCAGGCAAAGCGACATCACAGTGTGAACTACTCAACTGAGCAAGTTCTGAGGCCAAGGACAGTCCTTGGCATTTTTGCCATGGATAAAAGTTAGCCTATACTAGCCATGTGCTCCTTGACAAACCAGTGAAGTAATGCAGTATAGCTTTATTTAACATTTTGTAATGGGCTATACAATCAGCAGAATATAGCTTTATTTAACATTTTGTAATGGGCTATACAATCAGCAGAATATAGCTTTATTTAACATTTTGTAATGGGCTATACAATCAGCAGAGTATATCTTTATTTGACATTTTGTAATGGGCTATACAATCAGCAGAGCATATCTTTATTTAACATTTCGTAATGGGCTATACAATCAGCAGAGTATATCTTTATTTAACATTTCGTAATGGGCTATACAATCAGCAGAGCATATCTTTATTTAACATTTCGTAATGGGCTATACAATCAAAGACCAAGGGAATTAGTTGTAATAGTTCGCTGACCTCTCTATTTTTCTCCTCAATAGACAATTATACAGTGTTCAGACTTGGTCCAAGGTCCTACAGGGAACACTGGACCTGCCTTGTCAGACCAATCAATGCCTGATGATGCACCATGTCCAGATATGTTTTGATGAAACAAATACATAACGTTATGTAACAGCTAACTACTTTTTATGTTTGCTAAAAGAATTGGCAAATCAACACAAGGTAAAAACAATGTCAAGTAAACTAGCAGTAACTACTTCATTTGAGTAGCTAGCAACAATCAGCTGAGCTAAGATAGTTAGCTAGCATGGTAGCTAACTGCAATAATTTTGTGGCCAACTAAAAAGTGACAAGTTAGGTCACATTTGAAATTCAGTAGCTAGTTATGTGCTTTAAAATGGTGAAATATGCATAAATCACTTGCTAAATGTTTTAAATTGTAGAGATTCATTGTACCGTCTAAACCAGCTGTGAAATACATTTCCCATTAACAAATACTTTATTTTCAGCTGGTGTACAAAACCGAAAGAAGACTCAAAAACGACACTTAAGAACGGGAAACATAGAAAAGGGGCACATAAAATAGATCTGCTGCTTCTTAGACTTGCTTTTAATGAATGAAAGATCTATAACCTACATTTCTATGTGAATTTGGTTGGGTCTCCCAAAAAAGTTACATATTGCATCTTCAACTAGGTTTAGCTCATTGTTAGCCTGAAGGCTAGCTACCTTATAATAATTGGCTCAGCTCGCGCAGGGCTTGACATTATGCGCTTATCTGGCCAGCACAAACAATGGTCCCTGTCAAATCACCTTTTCTTTGCTTGCAGGTCGCCCCGGGGGTTAGCTAGCAATGTAGCTAGCTATAGCTACCTTGTCAGCTAACAGCTGGTTGGGGAGTTTAGCATTAAAGACTAACGTTAGGCAAAATGGACGTTAGCTAAGCCACAATTTAACTATTTTGTCGCATTTATTAGCGTTATGCTACGCTAGCTAGCAGGTTACCAAACAACCCTTCACATCTGCTTCCCCTTCACGGAAAAGCCAAAGTGGCAGACTGTCTATAGTAGAATAGAACAAAAACGGGTGTTCTGTTGCCGATTAAACATACACTCACCTCGGTATTCCTGGATAAAGCAACAACTGCACGGTTTGATAATCTGAGCATGCGCTTCGTACACGATCAACGTGGAACAAAATCGAAAAAAGTATCTGAAATGCGCTCGCAGAAGAACCAGTAAATACGTCATGCATACACAGTCCGTGGAGATATGTTTCTTTCGCAATTTCTTGAAAAAGCTCTCTACTGCCAGTGGATTGTTACGGAGGCAGTGGGCGGTGTTTTTCTGCTATAAGGGGGAGGGACATAAGTTTTATTATTGAAAGGTGATGATTTTAGGCTGAATACAACTCTGATATCATCAATGGGCCATCAATCAGACTACTGTTGCAATTCCTTTCATTCACTAAATGTCTTTAGAATAAAAATACAATTGGGGTTTCGTCATTTCACAAGTTTTATCCACTATTTCAAACGTTGATTTGTTTTTCCAAATCAATCTATTGACAATTTATAATTTCTCTATTGGGCAAATCATTTATCTATTCTCTATTATTTTGCTGAATAGGCTCCAGTAAGTAGGCCTACAATAAAGTGGCCTACAATAAAGTGGCCTACAATGCAGACTTCAACAATAGAGAGTGCTGCTGTTTCCACATAAACACATAGAATCAATTGACACAACATACATAGAATTACACCCCATAATACACCCCTCTCCCCACCCACACAAAAAGTTTATATCTGTTCAGCCTGCATCTAGGCAACCTATTACGCCTCCCTGAAGGCATCAGCTGGAACTCTGTGTTCAGTACATGTGTGGGGTCCGATATAACCCTGTCCTTGAGAGAGGAGGGAAGTGTCATGCCTATAATCTTCCTACTGTCTTGGTCAGTCTCAAGATTTGGGCTTTGAGCTGCACCGTCAGGTTACCAAACCATGTTACAGTGAGCTGCACCGTCAGGTTACCAAACCATGTAACAGTGAGCTGCACCGTCAGGTTACCAAACCATGTAACAGTGAGCTGCACCATCAGGTTACCAAACCATGTAACAGTGAGCTGCACCATCAGGTTACCAAACCATGTAACAATGAGCTGCACCGTCAGGTTACCAAACCATGTAACAGTGAGCTGTACCGTCAGGTTACCAAACCATGTAACAGTGAGCTGCACCGTCAGGTTACCAAACCATGTAACAGTGATCTGCACCGTCAGGTTACCAAACCATGTAACAATGAGCTTCACCGTCAGGTTACCAAACCATCCATGTACAGTAACAATGCTATAGCATAGGATTGACCCAATAGTAAATCAGTGAATAATCTGCCCACGGGAGATTAGAATATATCTGTCTATCATCCATCCCATGTCATATTTAAAGAGATAAATGTCTGCTAAAGCAATTTAGAATATGAGGCTGTATAAACCCAACACTGTCTACATCCATCCATCAATCTAACCATATGCACCTCTCTAGCCTTGTATTTAGCTGCATCTATCCCATCCCAAACTCTGGTGCAGTGCAGTATGAGTTGTGTCAACAGATGGCAGCATCACACAACAATTTCCATGGGAGGTGTGGAGAGAGGTCTGATTTTGGAAAGCTGCATGATGACTAGGGATATTTACAAACTAAATCTAGCCATATGTCAGAAATGTGCTGGATCCTCTGAAGGACAATATCTGATGTAGGCCTATTAACATAGAGACAAGATGCTTCATAGTTCATAATTGTAGTGTCGAATTATGTAGAAGGGCATTTATTACTTTCACTAATGGGAGGAGTAGCTCACAATTGGCAGTAAAGCTTCAGGTTAACCTTCTAAAATAATGGAAATTTCAGCATTAGACTATTACTACCGGTTTTAGGCTACATAATAAATGTGTTAGGTAGCCTAAAACGTATCCTAAGTCCAATAGTATTGAGAATGAAAATTGCACAGGTTTAGAACAACATTAAATATAATTTAGTACAATGTGTCCAGTCTCCTTAGAGGTGAGTGGCTAAAACAAGCGGTAAAATATTTCTTGCTAACATCAGCACTGCGCCAAAACGGACAGTTCCACCTACCGGCTTTAGCGTCCAAAATAGGTACGGCTCCTTAGATGTGAGTTTAATCACTAATATAAATGTGGTTATAAACCATTTAAAAGTGCTTATAACCAATGACTCAGTATATTTAAGGTATTTGATGAGAGGTTGTTTTACCTGGGACATCTGCAGTGGCCAGTTGGGCAGGCTAGAAGTTGCCATCAGCCGGCTTTAATTATTCATCGTCATGAGGTCCCCCTATAAAAAGGAGACGCGCCCCCTGCTCTGCTCCCTTTTATCACTCGCCAAGATGAGCTACGGATCTGACTTCAATTCCGCCTCTTCCTACAGAAAGATTTTCGGGGAGTCTCCCCGTTACTCCAGCTCTCCATCCCGGATGAGCAATGCCTCCTCACGCAGCGGCGGTTACCGGTCCCACTCTCAGTCCCGGAGCATCGGCTCTAACCTGGGCTCCTCTTTCCACCAGAAGAGGTCCTCTGGCCGGTCCTACTCGCAGATGCCCATGCCGATGGAGAACTTGGATTTCGCCCAGAGCACGGTGCTCAACAACGAGTTCAAAATCATCCGCACCAACGAGAAGGAGCAGATGATGGGGCTCAATGACCGCTTTGCCATGTTCATCGACAAGGTGCGCAACTTGGAACAGCAGAACAAGGTGCTCGAGACCGAGCTGGTGACCCTGCGTCAGAGGCAGACCGAGCCCTCGCGCCTGGCCGACCTGTACCAGCAGGAGATCCGCGAGCTGCGCTCCCAGCTCGACGAGGTGAACGGCGAGAAGTCCCAGATCCTCATCGAGCGTGACAACATCGAGGAGGACCTGCAGAAGCTCCGCGGCAAATACGAGGACGAGTACCGCATGCGCGAGGAAGCCGAGCAGACCCTCAAGGCGTTCAAGAAGGACGTGGATGACGCCACCATGGTGCGTCTGGACCTGGAGAAGAAGGTAGAATCCCTCCTCGACGAGATCAACTTCATGAGGAAGGTGCACGAGGAGGAGGTGACCGAGCTCATGAATATGATCCAAGCCGCCCAGGTGTCCGTGGAGATGGAGGTCTCCAAACCTGACCTCACCTCTGCCCTGAAGGAGATCCGAGGCCAGTACGAGTCCATGGCCTCCAAGAACCTCCAGTCCGCCGAGGAGTGGTACAAGTCGAAGTTCGTCGACCTCAATGATCAGGCCACCCGTAGCCAGGAGGCGATGCGCGCCAGCCGGGAGGAACTCAACGAGTTCAGGAGGCAGCTCCAGTCCAAGACCATCGAGATCGAGAGCCTGAGGGGAACCAACGAGTCCCTGGAAAGGCAGCTCCACGAGATGGAGGAGAGGCACAACCAGGAGATTGGCCAGTACCAGGTAAGAAATTATGTGTTTACTTTAAATACACTTAAAAGTTCAAATTTGAGCTTATCTTTCTTGCAGTTTGTTTACAAACATGTCCAGGATAAAGCAACAGATAAATAATTGTTTAGTTTGGAAAGATATTGCATTCAACCAGGTACAAAAAAAAAAAGTTGTCTGCTAAAAAAAACAAAAAAACAATTGTGTTCTAATAAAAGTGGGGAATTGAGCTTTATAACATTATTTTAGAGCTATTAAATTGTTTTACTAAAATGCACAACACGAGAACTGCAATATTAAAGGGTTGAGATGACAATAGGCCCTGTTCACTCTCCATGGTGCTGAAACTATTCCGGACGCCTGTTAAAACGCTCTGTCACCGGTTATAGGGCTGCGGTTCAAAGCGTCTTTTAGCTTTTTTTGAGTTTGGAAGTTGAAAACCACTGTTCTATTTTTCAAATACGCACGCGCCTCTTACTGTAACTGCTTTTTGTTATATTTAGTAACTGTGACTGCTCTCTTATAATCATATTTTGTTTGACGTTAGTGCGTCTCTGTACATGGTGCTGAAATATTATTTGGAGGGCGGCCGCGCGATACAGACGCTCTATTGGGCCGTTTTTCTTGCTATTCTTTGTTATTGAAAATCGAATTTATAGTCTTATTGTTATCGTTATTCTCTTGAGTCAGGCATCACTTACTCTCAGAAGAAAGGTAGGCTATATTAAAACATAGCCTATATCAACACAATTCCTTTTGGCCTCATGCTTTATTAGCCCTAACTTTTAGGCTTGCCACTGTTTCACAGTTCGTTTTCTACTTCAATATGTTACCAGGACAACATGGCAGAGCTGGACAATGACCTGAGGACCACTAAGAGCGAGATGGCTCGTCACCTGCGGGAGTACCAGGACCTGCTGAATGTCAAGATGGCGCTGGATATTGAAATCGCTGCATACAGGTACTTAATATAATAATATATAATAATATAATATGCCATTTAGCAGATGCTTTTATCCAAAGCCACTTACAGTCATGCATGCATACATTTTACATAGCTTGTATTCATCATTGTAATCATAACATTCATCATAACATTACAATGATGTATTACTGTAACATAAAAATGGACATCCTAGCTTTCATATAGTTACAGTAGATTTATTAAGCTTGAAAATGTGATGCCTAAATAACTGCATGACCCACACTTGATTAGCATCACTTTAAAGATGCTGATCAATCAATGACATAGAATTAGAAATCATTAGCCACACACCCCGAGGTGACATGGCATTACTCTCCTGGGGTAGCATGGGCTGGTCACGTGACTCTTCTATATTTGAACCATCAATATTTAACCAACCCCCCTCCTCTCTCTCCCTTCCTCCCCTCCCTCTATCTCTATCTCTGTCTCTTTCTCTACCCCTCTCCGTCTCTCTCTTCCCCCTGCCCCTGCCTTCTTCTCCCCCCATCCCCCATCCCCCTCCCTCACACTCCCTCCCTCTCCTCAGGAAGCTGCTGGAAGGGGAGGAGACCCGCATCAGCACAGGCATCACCTACTCCAGCCCCAGCATGAACATGAGCTCCTCCGGCATGAGGTCCTCCGAGATGAGGTCCTTCGGCATGAGGTCCTCCGAGATGAGGTCCTCCAACATGAGGTCCTCTGACATGACCTCCTCCGGCGACGCCGACTTGCCCAGCATGGGCAGCTACAACCAGACCATCAGGCACACCACCAGCTCTGGAGGCTCCAAGAAGGACCAGGGCAAAGACCAGGAGGATGGGCAGAGCAAGTCTGGCAAGGGGTCCAGCGACGGAGACCAGAAGGAGTCCAGCGATGCCAACCCCACCAACCAGAAAAACTAGACTCTCCCCTTCCCTTAGGTTTAACCTTACACCTTCCATCCCCTCCCTCCTATTCCCCATCCCCCTCCCCCCTCCACAGGGGTATTCTCAGAGAGGAATCCGTTATAGTTTAGACTCTACTACTACTACTGTATAACCTACCACTCTTCTCTCTCTATTCTTCTCTCTCACTTTGACAATAACAAAGTAGTTACAGACACACTTCTGGCACTATCAGGAGACACATACGTTATTGTGGTGATAGGAACATACAGTTCAGTACAATACTCTAACAGTTTACTCTCACTTTGGCCTCGCGCTATTGTATGGCACTAGTCTGGTTTAACCAGACTGAATGCTGCACTCACTAGAAACAACAGTGAAACACAGCTAAATCAGTTTGGACGCCAGGCTAGTATGGCACTGAGCTGTGATAGATGTCATTCAGTTCAAGAAATAATCATGCACTACTGCCACCGGCTATGATAATATTCTCTATACACATTCCATGGGGGGAGGGATGTGTGTGTGCGAGTTTGTATTTGTGCACGGAAACAAAAATCCAAAACATATCAGCTTGTTAACTGTTGTTAATATATCTACTACACCCACCTAATACAATATGAATGAAAGCACTTGTATGGTACGGAGGTGAGAGCTAGAGATCGATCAAGTTGTTAAAGGAGCACACCGTTATTCAAAAATGTATCTGTGATCTTGCTGAGCCATTTTTGCCTTATTAAATCAACAATGCAGATAATATTGCGAACTCTTGAGTTTCAATGCAATGCAGACAAAATTCATTTTCTTTCAGACAAAACATCACGAGTAACAATATCAGAGTATATCTAAAAGGCTTGTTCATACCCTGGTCTCGTCACTGTCAATAGCATCTGCCTTATGATCCTGGTCCACTCAAATCTGCATGTCAGCAGTGCATAACTGTTTAAACCACCACCCCTTCTACAACAGAACTAGAACTCAACCAACAATGGTTCCATCAAAAGCATAATTACTCTCCAAGATTGCTCTTGATGTCAATTAATCAAACTTCTATAAAGGCCCAGTGCAGTCAGAAACGTGATTTTCCTGTATTTTATATATATTTCCGCACTATGAGGTTGGAATAATACTGTGAAATTGTGAAAATGATGACAATGCCCTTTTAGTGTAAGCGCTGTTTGAATAGACCGCCTGACATTTCAGCCTGTTTTGGTGAGATGGAGTTTTGGCCTGCGTGGCGACATCACAAGGCAGTATAAATTAATAGACCAATAACAAAGAGAGTTTCAAAGTACTTTAATTGTTATCCAGAAATGATTTGATAATGAGATAAAAACGGCTGCATTGGACCTTTAACTTGAAATAAGTCTGAAAGTGAAACTAGCTAATGATCAAACTGTTATTTGCATGATGTATGTAGCATATCTCATACTTGCATGGTGACAGATTGTTAGAGGGCCATACTTCATTTTCACATACTCATACTGTATAGTAGGAAATCAATGGGATGCTAGGTTCCACACTTCATTGCCCATGCTTTATATCGCCATGTACACAACAGTCGTTTTAGAACATGAGGTTGTATGTGCTTAGTTGGCCAGTAGGCTAGACTTGAGATGAATGCCATAATTTAGACAGGATGTGACATAAGCACACACTGCTGACATTGTACTCAGCTGCACTGCTTGGTTCTTGTGTGATGATTATGCTAATGATGATGATGTTCATCATGATGAGGGTCTTATTCAGGGCATTTATATATCGATCTAGATGTGATTTCATTTGTACTGACTATCAGTTTGTGCAGGCCATGACTGGTTACAAGAAAAGGGAAACAGGGAGATGGAGAAAGAAAAGTTGGAGGTGTGGGACTCTCAGAAACAGAGAGAAAGGAAATCAAACAGAGAGAGAGAGAAGATGAGCTACCTTTAAATTCTCATTCTCACGACAGGCTCAATCAATCAAATAGAGAATGCGTAGGTAGCGAATTACGTTTTAGCACAAATGCATGAGCTTCTAAATGGTCCAATAGGGTGTAACAGACAGAATCGTATGCATAAACCCCATTTCCCACGTGCCATTGCAGACTCCTGAAGCCCGTTTGAATTAACAGCGATGTCCAACATCCAAACAGTACCACATCACGACACTACGCCTTAGGAACACAGCAACTAACAAGCCAAACAAACAAGTCAAGAAACGTAAACAAAAACAAGCCAAAAGTCCAGAAAAGCTGACCGGACCAAGATGCTTTTAAAGCACTGTGACCTCTCTGAAAATACGTCCATGATTGAATTATTATGTCTGTTGTGAATGATCATGAATGATCTCACCAATAGAAATCTGTTTGTAAAGAAACTAGGCAGCCATTTTGTTTCCTTCTTGTGCACTGCCAGGTTTCAACACAACTACTTCTGTCTTCTTCCCTCTGTATTTTAGCCTGAGTGCCAGTCTATTTGTGCTATGTTGCCAACTCATTGTCTCTCATTGTCTGACAATAACAGAGTTGGCAAGAGAGCACAAACAGATCTGGAACTAGGCTACCTCTGTATCTATGTCTGTCTGACAGTCTGTCTGTCACTGCCCTCTAAGCCCTGACCAGCTGCACTCACTCACCCTGCGAATGGAAACCATTGATTGTACAACAAACTACAGAAAGCTGTTGGGCGGTTGAGATGCGGTTTGCCATTGTTTTACACAAGGCTTGCGTTACTAAGTATCTGAGTTCTGTAGTTGTGTGTGTTTGTGTATGTCAGGGTTGTCCAACCCTGTTCCTGGAGAGCTACCCTCCTGTAGGTTTTCACTCCAACCCCAGGTGTTACAAACCTGATTCATTTGATCAGCCTGCTAATTATTAGAATCAGGTGTGCTAGATTAGGGTTGGAGCAAAAACCTACAGGACGGTAGCTCTCCAGGAACAGGGTTGGGCAGTCCTGGTGTATGTGGACAGTTTCCTTGGGAATCAGGTTGGGAAAATCCGAAAGTTTGGCCTACCGTTTCCTTAATTCTTGAGCTCCAATTTAAATTTACAAAGGAAAACTGGTTGCAAGTTCAAGCACAGCTACATCTACAAGTACAAATATGAGTGGAAGTACAAGTACAAATACAAGTAGCCTTGTACACAACCACAGGTATACGTTTAGAATAACTACGACTTCAACGTAATCAAGAGGGTCACAGGTGTCTAAATATCATTGCAACACGCCTCCACAAAAAACCTCACTACTACTACCGCAGCACTGCCAAACTTTTCTAAAATGCATGTGCGACAAAAACAACTTTTCATATACAAAATAGAGCTGTTTTTGAAAACCCGTTGCCACGCAAAACCAAAACTGACAAATAATACAAAACAAAACATGGAATGAATGCTATAGAGTTGTCAAAATGCCTTAAAACACCAGCAGCTTTCTAACGGCTTGAATCCTAATTTGCACTTCAGTTGAACTTTCACTTAGTCTCTCATAGATATCAATACAAGTGAAAATATGACTTAAGTGGAAGTTAGGATTTATGTGCATCTACGTATGGTTCTATTTAGGATGTTTTATTCTCATCTATCTTTCTCTCTCTAGCGTTAAGAGCAACAGCTACCATGCTAGACTGAATAACTGAAAACTGTAAAAGCTTAGTATCTGAATGTAGTTTAAATACTATACTCTGACTCTGTACTGATGATGTATGGCACATACCAATAAAGACTTGCCGTTATTAAGACCATATCTTTGGGCTTGTTGTGTCTTTCTGAAGTGTTTTTAAAGGACTTGCCTCATTGAGTAAGAGAGCATACCCACTGGGCACAGATGTCAATTCAACGTCTATTCCATGTTGGTTCAACGTCATTTCATTGAAATGATCGTTGAAACAACGTTGATACAACCAGTGTGTGCCCAGTCGGTATTGACGATAATCAAGGGAGGAGTATAATAAATATTTTACTTCCAATGTGCTGTAACATATTAGACCCAAACTCAACCTTTCCCAGTGATGTTTCCTATGTGCCCTCAGTCACGGTAGATCTCAACCAAGCCAAATTACATCATACATCAATGAATGGGTGGATCCTACGATAATGTAGTAATTCTAAAGCGGTAATGTAGTCATTATGGTGGTAATGGACCAATCAAGCGAGGTTTAATACATCTATGAAGAAAATATGTAATCCCATTTACTAATGAGATTATAATTTTACTCAGACACAAGATTAACAGTGATATGATGGAAAGTGGTTTTCCACGCTTTGTCATGCTAGGTAAATTAATCTAAGAAATATACAGGATCTCCGTTTAGATTAATCAGTTATTCTTAGCTTTAAGTGAGCATCCATTGTGATTCATCTAGCATGAAATGTGTTAATGATTCTATCAAAGCATGCCTAGGTTGTTCATTAGCATTTGAATGTGCAATCAATAACTACATTAGTAGACCCATTCACTCTCTCAGTTCACTAACTTTCCAATTAGAGAGCTTTTGTTCATTTTGTTATTTGATGAAAGAGGTAGGTAGGAGTGTAGGAATGTAAGAATAATCATTAAATGATTCACAAATAAATTCATGAATAAATAATAAAATATGTTCATTTTAATATCCTGCCCATCCATCTGTCAGGTATAAGGTGGAAAATGAATGACATTTGTTGTACTTGTTTGAACATCTGTGTAAAGAAGTGATGCTGAGACAATAAGGGCACAACCACCTTGACCGTTTGGTTATGGTTGTTGTCTGCTCTCCAGGGTCAAGGTATAGAGATACCTTTATAGATTGTCTGCTGTATTGACCTTTGTATCCCTTCCTCTATCTACCTCATAAACACACACAAGCACGCACACACATTCATGCACGCAAGCTCCCATACACACACGTGCGCACACACACCCATGCTCACACACACACACACACACACACACACACACACACAAAGATCCGTAAACCGCACCGCTCTGCACCTCATATACACTACTTACCCATCGCCCCAATCCTAATCATTCCCCAAAACACACACACACACAACACACACA